AAATTTTAATAATACATATAATATAATAATACATACATATACATACAATAATCGATAGAGCGGGAACTTCCGAATCCAATGATATATGTAACTCATTTTCGATAAAATGTCCCTTACGTTAATTGATACTGGTATTGATATACGAAAAATTTACATACATAATTGGAAATTAATCAACAGATGCTCATTGTGGTCAATTTAACATTCGTGCTTCGATTATAATAAAAATTCAATTTTGTTATTCAAAGAGGTGCGCTACCCAAATAATAAAAATAAAGGGGACGAATTGGCTCCACCTTAGGTAATCAATGACGTCACGACGCTAGGTTAATTAAAAACGTGTGACCTCTATGTTTTACTGTCGCAGGGAGTGGTAGAACTGAAGTATGCGAATTCAGTTGCAATTACATTAAAATGCGAGTTCTGTTTGTATGAGTTTTTATATGATAAATAGCTCGACCAACACACACACGAAATAAATGATAACATGAAAGTCGTCTGGGAATAAGTGCTATTTCATCATTTCAAGGTTCTATACACCGCTATATAGGTAAATTACGTTTGCGATCCACGGGTTCATGATTGTTTTGACTTCTAAATTTTTTTTCCTTCTACACAAAAAAAATCACAATTACTATTTATTTATAAGGCAGATTTCTCGAAGAAAAATGAGTAAGATACTCTATTGTGTTGCTCTTTGTAAATAGACTTTTATACTTATTAATGATTTATAACAAATATGCTGAGGTTACAGGCACATGGGACTTGTCAACTTATGTCTCAGGGTGACGGGCGCAATGGGAGTGAGCCTCAGATCTTTGCGATCTAAAACTTTGAGTGGCACTGCAACTGTTATGGACAGGCGTGTAGTTGTAGCAGTCGCTCGACTTGTTCGTCCCTTCACGTGATATTATAAAAAAACCTTTAATGTAAAGTTTTAGTTTCACTATAGTTTTAAACCTCGTAAATGGCAAATTTTAAATATCAACCGGAATGTTATAGAAAAATATACATTGGTCCTTAAACGAATTTGTAACTTTGTGAAGACGACTGTCTAGAACAACCAGTTTATTTCTATGCTTCGTATTAATCAGTACTGCTCACAAAAAAATATTATTCTTCTTAACATAAATGACTATTGCGTAGATGTCCTATGACGATAGTGTAAGAATGTTAATTTCTTTCTTTAAGACACTCTGAGGTACACAAAAGGAGCCTTTGTACGTTTCGTGTACGTTAGCTTGGGCAACAATTTCCCCACGATGGCAAGCTTTACAGTATATGCCATCAATATCATAAGAAGAAGAAGAAAGACACTCTAAAGCATAGGTTCCCAAACTTTTTGGCTTACAAACCCCTTCGGCAAGTTAAAAAAAATTAAACGCGCACCACCACAAAAAATAATTGGAAATGCGTATTTTTTACATTAATACAAATAATGACAAGGAAAATATAAACATATATATGTATATTTTTCAAATGCGGTAGCAGCCCCTGGCATAGCATCAACGCCCCCCTATTGCTTCCGATCGCCCTAGGACTCTTGTGGGGCCCACTGGTAGGGACCGCTTTGGGAATCTGTACTCTAAACGTACGTTTTTGTAGGACATGTCTTCGGCAGGCAATATGAATGATTACTGTTTTATGGTCATATTTACATGTTTGAATTATACGTTACGAGAGTGTTAAAAGCTTAGAATAATAACGCATAGAAACCTAGCCCGCACACGCTAAGTGAGGCAAGTTAGAGGGTGCCAAACGCGTCCCAGGAGCGCGCGGGCTGTTAGTGCTCAAGGTCATATTGCACCGCGAACAGCTCCAAAATTTTTTGCTAAAAATGACGAAATGTGCGGTAAATGGGTGTAAAAATACAACAGACAAACAAAATAGACACTAACATCGCATTCCACAAGTAAGTAATGCGTTTCAACTCATATTTTTATGTAAATATTCACTAAAACAGAAAAATAATTTCGCGGCAACAAGATACGAAAGTGTTGCAAAGTATCGAAATTTTTTTCTCCCGATTTTGCTATTCTGTATCAAAATAATTATATTACGTAAATTTTAGTGGTGCCTGTAATTTCGATTTATTTGCGCATTTTGAACTAATATTTACTCGAATAAACATTAAATGTTTTCGTTAACTCCTGTAAGTGATTGGGACACTTAATTATTTTATAATACTTTTAACGGATCTGCGTTCATGCTTTATTGAATAATTATTTATATTAATTTTATTTGAATTGGAGCACATATTGCAACAAATTTACAGTATATATTTGTTTCTACTATAGTGTTGGCACCACCAGTACAACTTTGATAGCTTATTATATGTCTTTCTTTTCGTAACTCAAGCGAAATATTTTATATTAAAATATTTTATTTTCTTAAAAGGGGAGCATTCTTAAGCGATTTTTTAATCTATTTTAACAGTTATTTTCTTTAATGTTTGCTTATGGCATTTTCGGTTTTAGGTTTCGAATATGGCACTTATTTCTAAATCCAAGATGGCGGGCGCGATTTTTCGAATAATGGCAAGTTGGGTATCGTTTTCGAGATGTTTGGGAATGTTCAATACAAATATGGGACTCATTTCTAAATCCAAGATGGCAAACACGACAGTTCAAACAAAAGCAATATTCGTAATGAGCACCCCCAAATACCTCGAAAACGATACCCAACTTGCCATTATTTGAAAAATCGTGCCCGCCATCTTGGATTTACAAATAGTGCCATATTCACATTGAGCATCCCCAAATACCTCGAAAATGATACCCACATAGTATTTTTTTGAAAAAATCGTGCCCGCCATCTTGGATTTACAAATGAGTGCCATATTCGTAATGAGCACCCCCAAGTACCTCGAAAATGATACCCATATTGCATTTATTTGAAAACTCGTGTCCGCCATCTTGGATTTAGAAATGAGTGCCATATTCG